AACCACCACCGAGACATCTGATATTTTCAGTGTTATATATAACTTTAATCAGTTGATAGGTACAGCCAGTGAGTAGATCAACCTGAAGAAATATGCTTTCGGTGTGCATTTATTGAGTGAAATTAAATCTACAACACTCAGAAGACTAATCTGTATATCCTTATTAGAAGCTTCAGTGACCTTTATTCCAACCTTCGGAGCAAATTACCTCAGGAAACTAAAATTCAGGAGGCATGTTGTTTTTCTCTAAAATCTTGCTGGCCACAAGGGACTAACAGGTAGAATTTTAATCTGAGGTTGTATTTTTTGTTAGGGCATGTGCTTGATGTTGTGTTGCATTCCTGCCAGGTTGTCTAAAAGGGGAAATATGCTCTACCTATGTAGGAATTAGCAAGAAATGAGCATTTTATGCCATTAAATTAATTTCCATTCCTTCTTCTTTGTTTATCTGTACCAGGGAGAGAGGCAAGCTGCAGGTGTGGCAGTGTAAGGGACTGTCTTTACTCAACACAACTTTAATACTGGATCCATGGCCGCCTTTAAAGAAAAAGAAGGAAACATCATTGCTCTCTGGGTTTGCTCTCAGCTGCTAACCTCTATAATGAACCCAAACTGGGCAGATCCTTAAGTTAAATAAAAATGTACAGTATCTCAAGTGAGGCTGTATGTAATCACACGATCCAGACTAAGCAGAAGCAGGCTGCTTTACTGTCTGGATTGGAAACCCACAAGGAACAACTCACTGCACAGGTCTTGGCTGCCTTTGGCTGCTTCAGATCCTGGAGCACTTTTCTATGAACATGTGTTATCCCCAGTGTCTGAGCTCTGGTTTGGGGTAATTACACTCTGCTTAGTTTAGTGCCCCCTGGAAACAAGAGCTGCATGCATCTCTTCCTTTACTGCCTGTTCTGAACCACTGTCTTGAGCTGGTTGGCAAAGTTCAGCTTCACGCCAAAGGTTGTGCTTGGCTGGTTAGAAAAGTGATTACAAGATGTTTTGCTATCTGTTAGAATAAGAGGTCCTGTGTAAAAATGTGAAGTTATGTGACTGCTAAACCAAGAAATGGCTTATGCCATAAGAAAATGGTGGGGCAGTAATTCAAGAAGCATTCCAGAGGCAAATGCTGGAGTAATTCTAGACAGCACTGCACAAAAAGCCTGAAAGGGAGAGAGATGGATAAAACCGGTTTGTGAACAGCTCTGGAAAGCCAAAGCTCCTCTGTGCTTACCCAATTGCTACTAGGAACTAGAGAATGTCCTTAAAGAAATGTAAGCAAAGCAGTGTGTCTTTTAAATACACAGCATTATTGATCTACATGTCTGGACTATTGCAACGATAAGCTGATAATGTTTGTAAAGCACAAAGTGTTAGTAAACCCAATTATTTTTCACTGTCACCCTGTTTCCCATAGACGACAGTAAAGTTTGTATGTTGGAATCCTACCTGCTTCAGTAGCTAATTCCAGCTATGACTTGCCTCTGCCTGGCAGTGTATTTGCTGGCACTGGGAGAGCCTACCTCTGGATGTGTAACAGCAAACAAAACCTGTTAGCAAAACGCTTAATCTCATAGGCGTTCTGAGGCAGGAAAGACGAGAAGCTCTCCGCGTAATGACACGGGCTTTGCAGACGCTGGCAGCAGGGCAGGCGGACGAGCAAACGCTAAATTTATCTGCCCTCACATGGATCAACCGCAAAGCGCTGTTGGGTTTCCCCTTTAGGAGAGGACCGCAGTCCACCCAGCCCCAAAGTTTGGCGGTGAAACTTCACGCCTCGCTGCAGACACACCTCCAAGAACTCCCATCCCGCAGCACCGCTGAGGAGGGCAGGTAAGGGGTTGCCGCCGGGGCGGGCGGGCCGGCCGGGGAGTGGCAGGGAGGGGCGGGGCGGGCGGCGGCCTCCGGCGGCGCGGGTTGACTTGTTGGGGGTTTTACTCTCAGCCCCAGCGAGCGGCGGCTCCTCTCTCGCGGCGCTTTCGCTGCCGCCCAGCCCCGGGGTGTTGGGCGTTTCACCGATGGGTGCGGGAGGAGGAGCGCAGCGGTCGAAGCTCGGTATGTTTTCACCCGGGGGGGGATTGCGGTGGCCTGGGGCAGAACGGCTTGTTTCATCTGCTTCTGGCTTTTCGTCGTGCGCCGTCTTTCCGTAGCGAGGGGCTCTCACTCTCGGGACCAGCCGCCGTGGGCTGTCTCTCTACAGGGACAGGGAGGGTTGCGGATCGCTGTAGGAGCCCAAAGCTCTGGAGCGTACCCAGAAGTTTAGCGGAAGCCTATTACTCTGCAACGGAGCGCTCTGCAGAAGAAGCAACTTTTCTGCTGACTCCTTTTCCTCCCCACAGTGGTCACATAACAAAAAATATTCAGGGCATATCTGTTACATTTAAAAAACAAACAAACAAAAAAAGTCTGTTATGTCGTCTGTGCATTTTCAAGGAGTGAATTGAGTGATTGGGACAGACAGGCTGCAAGTCTGTTTGGCACGCTGGTAACGCTTTGGTTCACTGCAGTCAATAAATAAGATCTCATAATTTCATTACATGAGAGTGGGGGGGGGAAGAAAGAAAGAAAAAAAGATTGTTGAAACAATATCTCTTTTATCTTCACCATCTTAAGGGG